TGACCTCAGAGCCCCTTCCCGCAGCGCTCGCCTGGTTCTCGAGGCCCGCTACGGCAGAGGAGGAGGAGCAGCAGAGAGCGGACGGGGCCGCCGCCACGGACCAGGCGGACGAGGCGGAGGCTGAGATCATCCAGCTGTTGAAGCGAGCCAAGGTGAGGCGGCGGAGGCCGAGCGCTGAGGCTGGCGGCCTTGGTGCGTATTACTCTCCACCTTACCGAAGAAGGGCTGGAGCCCAGAATCTGATGGGTCATCCGAGGGGCGATTGGATTCCATCCAGGCTTTTCCCACTCTATCCTACTCTAACGCCTGCAGTTAAACCGCTACTGTCTCAAGTGCTCATGAGATGACACTCCAGGCATCACTCTTTTATCCAGACAGCATGTCGGGAACATTTTGTAGTTGTTTGTATCAGTTAACCAGCCAAGCTGAAATGACATAATTTTGCTCGTATATAGTGGCCTGCAAATGCAACTTAGTGTCGGTTAGGCGACTTGGTTCTCCTTCTGAATTCTTCCTTTTCTCTACATCCTTTTCTATTTTACCTTCTCTTCTCCCTAGATTATCTCATCTCTTCCACTGGGCTAAGTGCCGACTCGGTGCCAACAGCGTCCAGATGTGTATTCCCAGATTGGGGTGTGCTACTGATAGGCCATCTCCACTTTGAGGTCTCACCTACCTCTCAGATTTAACATGCCCCCAAACTAAACTCTTGATATTTTACACTTCCCCAACACGTTCATTCACCATTTTTTCTTTTCTTTTGTCAATTTTTCAGCCTAGAAACCTAGTCATTCTTAACACTTGTGATACCTTGCCATTCGCCTTCCAGTGCACCTACAGTCCAGCAGTAATTCCTGTTGCCAACAAACCAAAATATTTCTCAAATCTGTCCTCTTTCCTTTACATCCTCTGCTGTCACCCTAGTGTAAACCATCACTGCTACCAGCTGTACTCCAGTACTTTTCTCTGCCCTCCTGTCCCCTTGTAATCCATTCTCCACAGAGCAGCAAGAGCGATTTCAAAAAAAGCATATTGGATCCTCCTTGCCTGAAAGCTTTGAATGACAACCCACTGCATTTATGGTCAAATACAAACTCCTTGCCATAGCCTGCAGGATCTAAAGCACCCTAACTTGTCCACCCATTTGGCAATAACCTGGCTCACCAGCCTCCTGTCACGTGTTCCCTTGCATTTCTTCTGGAAAAATTCTCAGCTGGGCGTGGTGGCTCAAGTCTGTAATCCCAACTTTGGGAGGCCAAGACGAGAGGATTGCCTGAGCCTGGGGGTTTGAGACAGCCTGGGCAACAAGGTGAGACCTCGTCTCCACAATAAATCAAAAAATTAGCATGTGGTAGTGCGTGCCTGTAGTTCCAGCTATTTGGAAGGCTGGGACAGAAGGATTGTCTGAGCCCAGCAGGTCGAGGCTGCGGTGGCCATGAGTGTGCCACTGTACTTCAGCCTGGGCGACAGAGTGAGACTCCAATGCAAAAAAAAAAAAAAAAAAAAAGAAAAAATTCTTTTCAGCTTGTAGAAGCTTCATTCTTTACTTACCCTGTGTTTGGATCATTCTTCTCCCTCCTCGTTTGTTGACTAATTCTCATCCATCCTACCTCAGTTTAACTGTTGTTTCCTTGGAAGGCTTCCCTGATTCCCATTTAGAGGCGACCCCCCTAATCACTTCTTTCCATCACTGTTCTTCATAGCTCTTATCATTAGTTGTAATCAAGATAACTTGTCCTACGTGGCCACCTCCAGCCTGTGGGAAGAGAGAAAGAGAGGATGGAGGACAAGCAGCATCCTTATAAAATGTGATGTAAAGATTGGTCACATTCCTTCTGTCTGCATCTCTTGGCCAAAACTTCATCATATGGCCACACCTAGATGCAAGGAAGGCTGATCTCCCTGTTACCTCTGTAGACAATGGCTGGTACATAGTAGGAATTCAATAACTATCTGGATGAATGGGTGAGTAGCTTCCTTCTCTGTATTGGAATGTATGGTTATATACACTTCGGTCTAGTAGCACATGCATCTACTTTATATTTCATTTTCTGCTTTCTTTGTTTTCTCTTTTCAGTTGAGCATCATGAAAGATGAGCCAGAAGAGGCTGAGCTAATTTTGCATGACGCTCTTCGTCTTGCCTATCAGAGTGATAACAAGAAGGCCATCACTTATACTTATGATTTGGTAACTTTTATAACCAGTCTGAACTACCGATGAGGAAGGGTTGATGCAAGGGAAGGGTTGTTCTCCTCATTTATATTCCTGACCGTCAGGATATCCTAATGCTCTTTATCTTTTTTGCTAAATTTTCTTTTGGTTTTAATTTTTTTACCTTTGGGGTATCACTAATAAAACCTCTTAATTCTAGACTAAAAGGAAACCATTATCATTAGCATTTATTTCTTCAGTGATGAGCAGACCTAGATTTGGTTTGTTATAAACAAAGTATGTGCAAATTTTTCCTTTCACACCATTACTGTTCTGTGCTTCTAACAGATTAATTTGGTGACATATTTTCACTTTGAACCCTTTCTTTTAAATTTAGAGAGTGAAAGCAGAAGGGAATCTTTAGATTAAAGGTTTTGAAATAAGTGGGAACATAGTGCTTTAAACTGAAAAAAAATTTGTAATTTGCTTTCAGATGGCCAACTTAGCATTTATACGGGGTCAACTTGAAAATGTAAGTAAATTACTTTGTAATGTCTTGAATTTGAAGGACTATCCTAAAGGAAACTATAATAGTAAGGGTATAGGCTAACCTGCTATAATATAGTGACTCAAGCAAGATAGAAATGTCTTTCTCTTTAATACATTAGTCCAGAGGTAGGCTAAAGACTGAAGGCAGGTAGGCTAGGTACCTTTGCTCTCTGGTCCAGAAGATTCCTTCAAAGATATGTCCTTATCTTTGTGGATGTGGTGATTCACCTCCAGCCTGCAAGAAGAGAAGAAGGGAGAATGGAGGGCAAGCAGTTTTTTTATAAAATATGGTTTAAAAGTTGTCCACATTTTTAATGCCTACATCTCTTGGCCAAAACCTTATCATATAACCATACCTAGCTGCATGGGAGGCCAATCTGCTATAATTGAGGGGATTCTGTAACAGAAAAGATGGAGAGGAGAGTAATGATTAGAGAAGAGTTTGCAGCCTCTGCCACAGTGGGTTTGTGAGAAGTTATTCTCTGAAGTTGGTTTCTACTCATCACAGTAGTTTAAGATACACAGAGGATGTGGGGGTTCTGATATTTTGATCTGCTTTGTTTACAAGGGTACTTTACTATGTATGTTTGAGTGCATATGCATGTGTATGTGTGTTTTATAAGGACTGATGCATCACACTGGTACTTAGAATCCAGGGTCATATAGACAGTGGGGCCCAATTTAAAGAAAAATCTTTTCCTTATACTTGTAGGCAGAACAACTTTTTAAAGCAACAATGAGTTACCTGCTTGGAGGGGGCATGAAGCAGGTAAGGACATTGTCTAGTACTGGCTCTCACTGAAGCAGTTTTCTTAATAGTCTGGCATCCTGAAAACTTTCCTGAAAACTACCTCCAACCCCTAACATGTGCTTTGGTCAAAAAAGGTGGATTTTTCCCCTGAAGGTCTTCAGTCTTTCAGTAATGCAACAGCATGGTCGCTGAGGAATTCACAGCTGGCTAATTCCCCTAAAATAATGATGACTATGGCATTGAGATCAAAATTAGTCTAAACGTTTATCTAAAATATTCCCCAAGAAAATATTACTTGTTACAAATTTTGTTCATTTCTCTTTCTCGTAACAGGAAGACAATGCAATAATTGAAATCTCCCTAAAGCTGGCCAGCATCTATGCAGCTCAGAATAGGTAAGTATAGTCAGAATCTACGTGTGGCAACAGCCCAGCAGTAGGGCGATGGGCCCAAAACTTTGACCCTGGGATGTTATGTAATCCTCATTTCATACTGTTTATCCAAAAAATTTGGTGTCAGACTCAAAGTGTTCCATCCCTCATCTTTGAAATTGCCAGGCTTGTCTGGTTTTGTTCCTGCTGTGTCCATTAGCCTTCTGAGTGGGGCACTCGGCACCTCTGGCTTCCCCATGACAAAGCTCATCAAGTTTCTGTTCCTGATTGAAGTGAGAAGGGAAGATAGAGCTAGAACTTTATTTTAGATCTTTCTGGAAGAAGTGAGAGCAATATAAAGGTTGCTGGGGATAGGCCAAGTGCAGTGGCTCACACCTATAATCCCAATACTTTGGGAGGTGGAGGTGGAGGATTGCTTGAGCCCAGGAGTTTGAGACTAGCCTAGGCAACATAGCGAGACCTCATCTCTACAAAAATCAAAAAGTTACCCAAGGATGGTGATGCACATCTGTAGTTCCAGCTACTTGGGAGGCTGAGGTGGAAGAAGGATTGCCTGAGCCCAGAAGGTCAAGGCTGTGCTGAGGTGTGATCACGTCACCACCTGCCAGCCTAGGTGGCAGAGTAAGACCCTGACCCCCCCACACAAAAAAACAACTACTTGGGATATATACTTTGAAGAAGCCATTTTGCTGATATAAATATAAGTGGAGTTTAATGATGAAATACCT